GTGTCTGTGTGTCAATGTGTCTGTGAGTCTGTGTGTCTGTGTGTCTGTGTGTCTGTGTGTTTGTGTGTCTGTGTGTCTGTGTGTCTGTGTGTCTGTGTGTCTGTGTGTCTGTGTGTCTGTGTGTCTGTGTGTCTGTGTGTCTGTGTGTCTGTGTGTCTGTGTGTGTGTTGTGTGTGTTGTGTGTGTGTGTTCTGTGCGTTTGTATGTTTTTATCCCACTGACTCCTCCCCCCCCGCTCGCCGCCAACCCGGGCCAGGAGCGCTCCGAGCAGCGCCCGAGCTGGAGCCGCCGCGGCGCCTGCCCGCACCGGATCCAGCGCGCGAGCGCCTCTCGGGCTGGGCGGAAGGGGGGGACAGAACACGGGGGGGGAGCATCAGCTCACGTGGCTGATCTTCCCGGCGCCTCCCTGCGCCGGAGGCGGCCATGCATCGAGGAATGGGCCCCTCGGTGGGGCCGAAACCGCCTGCACGCAGCAGGTTTCGTAACCCCAGAGATCCGACGTCGTGGTTTTTGCCATGCGCGGTCCCCCGAAGTCTCGACCCGTTCCCTAGGACCAGTTTTTCATCCGGAGTCGTTTTCTGACGGTCCCGGGGCCCGGCGAGGGCCCCTAGAGGCCGAAATTATGGAAAAACCTCCGTCTTGATTTTTGTCAATACGTAGGATCTCTGGGACCCCCCCCCTTCCCCAATCCCCCCCCCTTTCGTCTGGCCCGAGCCTCCAGTGCGCCGCAGCGCCGCAGCGCCCCGCGCCACTCCGGGGCGAAGAGCGCCACGCGCCCGACGGCCTCAGCCGCGGCCTCGGCGGCCGTGGCCCCGCCCAGCGGCCTCGCGGGGTCCTCGCCGGCGGCGAGGAGCGAGGAGCGAGGAGGAGGAGCGAGGAGGAGGAGGAAGAGGAGGAGGAAGAGGAGGAGGAAGAGGAGGAAGAGCAGGGAGGAGGAAGAGGAGCGAGGAGGAGCGAGGAGGAGCAGGGAGGAGGAGCAGAGAGGAAGAGCAGGGAGGAGGAGGAGGAGGAGGAGGAGGAGGAGGAGGAGGAGGGGAGGGAGGAGAGGAGGAGGAGGAGGGAGGGGAGGAGGAGGAGGAGGAGGAGGAGGAGGAGCAGGAGCAGGAGCAGGAGCGAGGAGGAGAAGGAGGAGGAGGAGGAGCAGCAGCAGAAGCAGGACGAGGAGCAGGAGGAGGAGGATGAGAGGGAGGGGGGAAAGTGAGAAGGAGAAGGAGATCGCAGAAGGCGGCGGGGCTTCTGAGAAGCCATCGCGCCTTCTGAGGAGTTTTGGGTGTCTTCGGTGAGGGCTCAGAAGACTTCTCGGAAGGCCGCGGGACTTCCCAGCATTCTGGAAGGCCCGCCCCTTCCGCTTCCCCCCCGGGCACGCCGCCGACCTCGGGCTGGGCCCAGGCCGCGTCGGCGCCGCTCGACAGGCAGGCCAGCAGCGCCTCGACGCCGCGGTCCACGTCCTGCACCTGCGCAGAAAGGGCATCGCTTGGGGGTCGCAAAACCGTGTGGACACAGGCCGTGCGGTGACCTCAAAGCCCCGAAAGGCCTCGCCGCACGGTCTGCCACCGTGCGGTGTTGTACCTCGGAGGCCCCAATCGCCCACGGAGCACGACCCGAGTCCCAAAACCGTGCGGTGATCCGAATCACCACTGAATCACCACACGGCGTGGTGACCACATCGTCTGGTCGGGAGCGTCCAAGAGGAGGGCGTCCAGGAGGGGGGGGTGCAAATCGTGGCCCGAGGCATGTGCGCGGCCCCGGGGGGGGCCCAGGGAGCGCATGGAACAGGGAAGAGGCGCCATGAAATCTGGGGAGACATCATGGCCACCGCTATATCCACCCACCCACCCCCCGAGTCACCCCCCCCGAGTCACCACCACCCCCGAGTCACCACCCGACGGTCGGCCCCTGCTCTCAAGCCGGCGGGAGGCCGCGGCGCTCGGCCCCGCGGCCTCCTCGGAGCAGGCCCGCGGAGCCCCGACAGTGGCAGAGGCCCGAGGAGCGGCGGCCGCCCCCGACCCTGGGGGGCCCCCGAGGCCGGCGCGCTCCCCGCCGCGCCCTGGCCGGGGCCGCCCCGCCCAAGGCCCCCGGGGAGCCCTGGACAGCGGGCGTGGCTCACCGGGGGGGTCCTAAGCGGGGGGGTCAGGCACGGTCCCTTTCGTGCCCCTTTCGGGCCCCTCCGGAGCCCCGCAGAGGGCTCGTGCAGGTGCCGTCTGGGTACCTTTTCGGACCACCCTCTCGCCACCCCCCCCCACTCATGACCCCCTGGTACGCAACGCCCAAGGGCACGGCGCTCTGCGCCCTCTGGGCCCCTTCTCGGCCCAGGGCTCGCCGGGGTGCGTCCACGGCCGCTGCCGCGGGGGCGGGCCCCGGGGAGTCCCGGGGGAGCGGTGGTCCTCTGGGCAGCCGCCCGCCCGCTTGCGCCGGCAGGCAGAGGCCTCCACGGCCACCGCTCTCCTCGATCGGGCGGCGAGCGAGAGGGAGGGGGAGACGAGGAGGAGAGAGGCCCTGCTCAGAAGGCGGCGCGGCGGGACTCCTCAGAAGCCCCGGCGCATCCTGGGAACGCTCCGAGAGCTCCTCCGAAGTCCGGCGGGCTGCGGGGCCTTCTGGGGAGGCCCGCCCCTCCTCGTTTTCTCCCCCCACTGGGCGCGCCGCCGCTCCACAGCCGCCGCTCCTCGAGAGGTGTCCAGGGCACGGCACGCGAGCGGTGGAGATGGGCACGATCTGGCGGTGGGCACTGGCGGCGCGCACGGAGCTTCTAAGAAGCCCTCCCCCCTTCCCCCTACACCCCTCTGCGCGTGGCTGCGACATGGACATGCCCTGGCGGTGGGCAGGGGGGGACGGGGGCTCTAACGCCACCCCGGGGCACAGAGTGGCTCTGGCCAGGCACGGTGCTGGTGCACACCCAAACGTCCGAGGATGACATGTTGCAACCCGGAGGGGCCAGAAGAATCGACCACTCACCCGATGGGGCAGTGCTTCGCCACGGAACCACTCCTGAGGAAAAGCCCGAGGCCAAACGGCCCCGAAGCCCGAAGTTTGGAAAAGAAAGCCTCTACCAAATGTTGACCGATGCCGCGACTTGTTTGTTGTAATGAAGCGGAATTGCGAAACATGCGGCGGACAAATTCCGGACGATCCACCGCCGCTTTACTGTGGAAAATTGCCAACCTTTTCCTCCGGAACCCGGGGGTCTCCCCCCCCCCCCTCCGCCGGAAAGTCCCCCCCCCCCGACCTGCCGGAACCCCTCCCCCCCCCCCCCACCCCCCCCTCTCCCCCGCAAAAAAAACCGCCCCCCCTCCATCCCCTAACCCCTCCCCCCCCCCCCCCCTCTCTCCCCCGGCAAAGAAACCCCCCCCCCTCCCTAACCCCTCCCCCCCCCCCCCCCCCCCCCTCCCGCTCGAAAAACCGTGGGGGGTCACTGACCGGGGTTCGAACCCCTTCCCCCCCCCCCCTACCCTCCGGATCCGGAAAACTGGAGGGGGCCACTACCGGTTCGCACCCCCCCTTCCCCCCCCCCCCTACTCACCGCCAGCAAACGACTCCCGGTCCCCACCACCGTCCGCATCACATCCCCCACTGGTGTTCCCAGCACCACTGTCCTCACCACCGCTGTCCCCACTGGTTCCACCACCGCCCCTACTGTCCCCACCAGTGGCCCCACCACTGTCGCACTGTCCCCGCTGTCCCCAGAACTGTTCCCACCACGGTTCCACTCTCCCCACTGTCTCCACGGCCCCAACCACTGCCCGACTATCCCCACTGTCCCCACTGTCCCACTGACTCCTCCGCTGTCCCACTGAGCTGTCCCACTGTTCCCACCACTGTCCCCACTGTCCCCACCACTGTCCCCACTGTACCTCTGTCCCATTGTCCCACCGCCGTCCTCGCCACCGCCTTCACCACTGTCCCCACCACCATTGTACCCTCCACTGTCCCACTGTTTCCACCTCATTCCCACTGTCCCCACACCACTGTCCCCACCACCACCGTCCCACCACTGTCCACTGTCCCCCCCTGTTCCCACCATTGTCCCCACCACTGTCCCCACCACTACCGTCCCACCACTGTCCCACTGTCCCACTGTCCCCACCACTGTCCCGCTATCCCCTCACCACTGTCCCACAACACACCGTCCCCACCACTGTCCCACCTGTCCCCCCACTCCCCACCACTGTCCCGCTGTCCCCTCACCACTGTCCCCCACCAACACCGTTCCCCACCCCCCCGCACCCCCACTCGGTTTCGAGGGGAGGGGGGGGGGGGGTTCGAACCGGTAGTGACCCCCCCCCCTTTTCATGATGAGCAGGGGGGGGGGGGGGAGGGGTTCGAACCGGGTGACCCCCCCGGTTTTCGGACCGAGGCAGTGACCCCCCCCGGTTTTCCGGAGGGGGGGGGGGGGGAGGGGCCGAACCGGCAGTGACCCCCCCCGGTTTTCCGCCAGCAGCGGTAGAACACGCTCTTTCGGATATTAACTAGAGGCCTCCTAGGTGGGGTCGGAGGAGATGGGGTCAGAGGATCGCGCCGCATCGCCGATGCATCGGCGATGGCGATGCATCGGGGATGCACCGACGACGCATCGTCGACGTCGGCGATGCGTCGGAGACGCCAACGCGAAGCAAATCGGGCTCCACATCGAGCCGCATCGGCGATGCATCGGCGATGCGGCGCGATCCTTCGACCCCATCTACAGTCAACCCGTATCAGAAGGATGCGCGATAAGGATGCATGGGCCTCGGACGCCCCTTCCGAAGCTCTTCAAGCGGAGCACGGCCAACGAAAGTGGCCAAGGATGGACCGAGGAGGCAAGGATGCGAGGGCACCCTTGGGAAGGTGGCCATGCCTACGATGCGGGCTGACTCTCCTCCGACCCCGTCCAGGAGGCCCAGGGTATTCTGACGCCGCCCGCGAGCGTGCGCACCTGGCCGGGGGGCGCGTGGGGCGCGAGGCAGGCGACGACGCTGCCCAGCGTCTACTCGGGGGCGCCGAACGAGGGGGGGGGGGGGTCGGGCAGGAGGGGGAGGGGGCGCCGCGCAGCATGGCCAGAGGCAGCTGCGCGGACGATGGGAGGGCGCCAGGGGAGCCCTGCAGAGAGGGGAGGAGGAGTGGACGCTCATTCTTGGGGACCCTCCTGGAGACACTGGCTCCACTCGCGCGTCGAAGCTGCGTCGCACTTCCGTCGATCTGAGTCGACCTCGAGCCGAGCCTGAGTCGAACCCAAGTCGAACTTGAGTCGGTCCTGAGCCGACTTGCGGTCGAACTAGCGTCGAACAGATCCGTGAGGTGGGCCCCAGGAAGGTCCCCAGAACGAGCATCCCGAGGAGGCGGCCACGAGATCGGGGGGGATCTCATGGCCGCGGCCGTGGTAGCCACACCACGAGCAGGCTGGTGTGAAGGCAGCGGGTCCCGGCAGCGATGGGCCCTGGATCCCGGGGGGGCCGTCCCCCCGGGACCAGCCTCTCGTCCTCGGCCGTGGCTGACGGGGCCCGGGGAGGGCTCCGGGGGCCCCAAGAAGCACTCAGATAGTGGCCAGCGTGGGCCCCGACTGCGTTGCAACCTCATGCGGCGCAGTCGAGGTGGTGCAACCTCGGCGATGCAATCCATGTGGCGCCGCAAGCAAAGCGATGCAATGCAAAGCAAAGCAATGCAATGCACAGCAGTGCAATGCCAAGCAATGCAGAGCAATGCAGAGCCATGCGGAGCAATGCAGAGCAACCCAAAGCAAGGCAGAGCAAGGCAGAGCACGGCGGAGCAATGCAGAGCGATGCAAAGCAGTGCAGAGCAGTGCAGAGCCATGCTGAGCAATGCAGAGCAATGCTGAGCAATGTAGAGCAATGCAGAACAATGTAAAGCAATGTCAAGCAGGGCAGAACAAGGCGGAGCAATGCGGAGCAAGGCAGAGCAACGCAGGGCAGCGCAAACCAGTGCGAAGCAATGCAGAGAAACGCATAGCAATGTAGACCGATGCAGAGCACTGCAAAGAAATGCAAAGACATGTAGAGCGATGCAGAGCGATGCAAAGAGAGGTGTCAAGAGAGGTGCCAAGAGATGCACAGCGATGCAGAGCAGTGCAGAGCAGTGCAGAGCAGTGCAGAGCAGTGCGGAGCCACGCAGAGCGACGACGAGAGCAACGCGGCCACGGGCGGCGACGCACCCGTCGGACTGCCACTGGCGCCCGGCGGCGACGGGCGGCGACGGGCGGCCACGGGCGGCGACGGCGGCGACGGGCGGCGACGGGCGGCGACGAGCGGCGACGAGCCGGCCAGGCCCCCACCGGAGCTGAGAACCCCCTGAGGGCAGGTGCTGTTTGGGGAGAGGCTCCAGGATCGGGGATGGGCAGGCCTCCCTTTAGTAGAACGTGGTTCAGTGAAAACGACCTCGGGCCCAAAGCTGGCGGGCGCAAGCCTGGAAACTAGCGGCCGCGACGCCCTCTCGAGAATCGAAAAAGGACAATTCACTAATCGACGTGTCAGGGTAGGAGGTCTGTCCACCCCCGCCAGGAACCCGTCTCCGTTCAGGACCCCTGAAGTCCCACGTCACAATCAAATGCATCCTCGCGCGCAACTATAACCGGAACTCTAGACCCCACCTTTCTGTTGCGTTTCGCTAGCTGGATCGGCCCGCGAAGGTACCGGGGAGCCCCAGACAGGGCGGAGGCGCCCAGTGCCACAAGAAAGCGACGCTGGGATCTCAAGGCCTTTTGCTTCATGGTGACCAGTCCTCTCACCCTTCTTCTCGGAGGGACGTTCAAGGTGGGGAAGGGGCAAAGGTGGGGTAAGAGGAAGACCGCTGATAACGGCCACGAAAAGGGACATGACCATCCGGCGAAAGTTGTTCGCCATCCCCACCTTGGGATGACCCCCCTCTACAAACCCCCGCAGAGGACCAGTGTCCAATACTGGGTCCCTGAAGTCCCGACACCTTCCCCGGGGCCACATCTTCATCCTGGAGCCGTTTTCTGACGACCCTGGGGCCTGGCGAGGAGCCCCAGAGGTCGAGAACATCGAAAAACCTCCGCCTTGACTTCTCCAAGACGTCGGACTCTGAGATCCGACGTCACGAAAACACTGCAACACTGTGCAAAATGACGACAGGAGCCCCAGACCCCATCTCTCTGCGGCAAATTTCGAGCCAGATCGATCCGCGAGGATCCCGGGGCCCGAGATGGGGCGAAATTGCCAAGGTCTCGCCTTGCCAAAACTTTGGAGGGGTTCGCCGCTACCAGGAACGCCGAGGCGCCCCCGCGCGGGGGAAAACCCACAAGATACCGATGCCGCTGGTGCCTGGACCTCTCCAGGAGTCCGCTTCGAGGCGAGTCCAGCCGTGGCGACGAGGGCCTCCCAGAATGACTGCCTACCACCCCACCCCAACCCAACCCAAAGACCCGAACTTCGGGTTGGGGGGGGTACGGGTCCATATGTATTGTTCCTATGTTCCCCGACCCACCCCCCACTGGAAATGGAGGGCAAATTGAGGCCTTCGGGTTGGGTTGGCGTGGTTTGGTGGGTGGTGACAGAAGGCCCGAAAAAACGGAAACGAACAAATGTTCACACGGCACCGGTATCGAGACGTCGAGGGTCCAGGTTGGAGGCCACTGGGGGATCTGAACTGGTCGGGCCCCCAGGAAAAATCAGTCAGGAGGGGGGGGGGAGAGTCGGCCGAGTCTTTTCAGAATCGGTCCCGGGAGCACCCCTCCAGGGTTCCATGTGGTGCAGCTTTTCACCCTGGGTCAGTTTTTCACGGTAGGACGGAGGGGGAGTCAGCCGAGTCTTTTCAGAATCGGTCCGGAAGCCCCCCTCCAGGGTTCTATCTGCTGCAGCTTTTCACCCCGGGGCCCGTTTCTCACGGTCCTGGAGCCCGACAACGACCCTCGGAGGCCGGAAAGGACAAAAAAACATTCCCGAACCCGGAACCTCGGAACAGACCGCCCCTCCTCTGCTGGCCAGAACCAGTGTTAGGTCGGGCATGTCCTCCTACAGGCGGATTTTGACAGGAGAATGTGAAACTGTCAAAAAAGTACTCCAAAGCAGATAGAAACCAATCGCAAAGTCGTCCCCGACTATCTTGGGACCATTTTGGGGCACTCCCCCTGCAGAGGGACGTATGCCCGATTCAGAACCAGTGCTGGGCCACCTCTCAGACCCGCAGGCGGCTCCGAGGCAGCGGCCCCGGTGCCGAGACGTCCAGGGCCTGGGCCCCCCGGACTGCCTGCCAGACCACCCCAACCCAACCCGAAGACCCGAAGTTGACCCGAATTTCGGGTTGGGGGGGTACACCCTGCGAAATGCTTAAGAACTCATGGGTTAAGAAATTCATATTCTCAGAACTTGAGTAAAAACCCAACATTCCCATTAAAAGATTAAGATTTACATTGAAATGTTAAGAATAATCGAGACTCTGGCCGAATACTTAAGTTTTCTTAAGCATCGCCTAATGTGTACGGGTTCCATGTGTTTTTTCAATGTTGTTCCCCGAACCCCCCCCCCACTGGAAACCGAGGACACATTTGGGCCTTCGGGTTGGGTTGGGATGGCTTGGTGGGTGGTGACCCCCCTCCTCGGCGCCCCCGGTCTTCACGTACTCGCGGAGGCGGCCGGGGCCCAGGCACTCCTCGTGGCGGCCGTGGAGCTGCAGGAGCAGCCGCAGGGCCGCGGGGGTGCGCGCCAGCTCCTCCCCCGCGGCGGGCCGGCGGCCACGCCACGTCGTCGTCGTCGTCGTCGTAGTCGTCGTCGTCGTCGTCGCCGGCGTCGGCGTCGGCGTCGGCGTCGGCGTCGTCGTCGTCGGCGTCGGCGTCGTCGTCGTCTGCGGCGTCGTCGGCGTCGGCGTCGTCGGCGTCGTCGGCGTCGGCGTCGTCGGCGTCGGCGTCAGCGTCGGCGTCGGCGTCGGCGTCGGCGTCGGCGTCGGCGTCGGCGTCGTCGGCGTCGGCGTCGGCGTCGTCGGCGTCGTCGTCGGCGTCGTTGTCGGCGTCGGCGTCGGCGGCGGCGTCGGCGTCGGCGTCGGCGTCGGCGTCGTCGGCGTCGGCGTCGGCGTCGGCGGCGGCGGCGTCGCCCGCAAGGGGGTGGCGCGAGGGGGGTGGGCTTCTGAGGAGGCGGCGGGGCTTCTTTTCGGGGGCGTCCTGAAGGGGAGCGTCCAAGGGGGGGGGTGCGCACATCATGGCCCGAGGCACGTGGGCGGCCCAGGGGTGGGCCAAGGGACGTGCTGAAAGAAGGAGAGGGGCCATGAGATCCAGGAGACATCGTGGCCCCCGCATGATACCCACGCCACCCTAGTCATCCTCCCCATCTTGGCCGCCCCCGATCTGAAAGGCAGAGGCCTGCCGCGAAGGCCCCAGAAGCTTCTGAGGAGGCTTCTCCGAGGCCGCCGGGTCTTTCTAAGAAGGCCCGTGCCTTGCAAGAAGCACCCCTGCCTCCTTAGAAGCTCACAGCCCTCGCGTCACCCCGCCGCCAAGAGTATAGCCACAGGCCGGACTGAGCCGGATTGGCCCAAGGCTACGACGATGCGATAGGCTCAATCCCGTGTTTGCTCCCGAGTTCGGCCTCCTGGGCCTGTCATCGGGCCCAGGGGCCACTCGAACTGGATCCTGGGCGAAAAGCTACCCCCGGCGATGGGGTCGAGACCTCGGGCCCTCCAGATTAGAAAAAGAATTTCGGAGGATATCTAGAGATGGGCATGACACATGACATTGGAACCCATCCTCGCATGCCAGAGACCCTCGCGTGATAAAGAATCACAACGGAGAAGAGCGGCTTGATATCTTCCGCTTCTTGGGGCCCCCAAAAACTACTCAGGATGAAAAACTGGACCCTAGGAATGGGTCGAGACCTCCAGGGGTCCACGTTTCAACCGAACAAAAACAAACAAACAAAAACAAAAAAATAGCCTGCAAGAAGGACACAACCGTATGCAGCTGCGAGTGCCGCGAGGGAGATGAGACGAAGGAGGGGGGCGCGCAAACTCACAGTAGCGCACGCGGTATAGCCTTCTGCCACGAAACGTGTGAAAGGTGTGCCGACATGAGTCGGGAGGATTCCTGCGAACGTCGCAACTGGGGCCTTCCGTGGAGCTCCCTATGGGGCCACGACCCGTGTGAGGTGTGTGCCGAAATGGGGCGGCAGTGCCATGCGAACTTTCCCACTGGGGCTTTCGGTGGAGCTCCCTATGGGGCCACGATCCGTATGAGGGGTGTGCCAAAACGAGACGGCGGTGCCATGCGGACGCTCCCGCTGGGGCCTTCGGTGGAGCGCCCTCTGGGACAACGAACCGTGTGAAGGGTGTGCTCAAAATGGAGCGGCGGTGCCATGCGGACGCTCCCGCTGGGGCCTTCGGTGGAGCTCCCCATGGGGCCACGAACCGTGTGAAGGGTGTGCCAAAATGGGGCGGCGGTGCCATGCGGACGCTCCCGCTGAGGCTGTCGGTGGAGCTCCCTATGGAGCCACGAACCGAGTGAGGGGTGTGCCACAATGGGGCGGCGGTGCCATGCGGACGCTCCCGCTGGGGCCTTCGGTGGAGCTCCCCATGGGGCCACAAAACGTGCGAGGGGTGTGCCGAAACGAAGCGGTGGTGCCATGCGGACGCTCCCGCTGGGGCCTTGGGTGGAGCTCCTTATGAGGCCACGACCCGTGTGTGGTGTGCCAAAATGGGGCGGCGGTGCCGTGCGGACGCTCCCGCTGAGGCCTTCGGCTTAGCTCCCTCTGGGGCCACGAACTGTGCGGAAGGCGTGCCAGAATGGGGCGGCGGTGCAATGCGGACGCTCCCGCTGGGGCCTTCGGTGGAGCTCCCTATCTGGCCACGACCCGTGTGAGGGGTGTGCCACAATGGGGCGGCGGTGCCATGCGGACGCTCCCGCTGGCGCCTTCGGTGGAGCTCCCCATGGGGCCACGACCCGTGTGATGGGTGTGCCACAATGGGGCGGCGGTGCCATGCGGACGCTCCCGCTGGGGCCTTCGGTGGAGCTCCCTGTGGAGCCACGAACCGAGTGAGGGGCGTGCCGAAATGGGGCGGCGGTGCCATGCGGACGTTCCCGCTGGGGCCTTCGGTGGAACTCCCTATCTGGCCACGACCCGTGTGAAGGGAGTGCCAAAATGGGGCGGCGGTGCCATGCGGACGCTCCCGCTGGGGCCTTCGGTGGAGCTCCCTATCTGGCCACGAACCCTGTGAAAGGTGTGCCAAAATGGGACGGCAATGCCGTGCGGACGCTCCCGCTGGAACCTTCGGTTTTGCTCTCTCTCTGGGGCCACGAACCGCGTGAAGGGTGTGCCAAATGGGGCGGCGGTGCCATGCGGACGCTCCCACTGGCGCCTTCGGTGGAGCCCCCCATGGGGCCACGAACCGTGTGAGGGGCGTGCCGAAATGGAGCGGCAGTGCCATGCGAACTTTCCCACTGGGGCTTTCGGTGGAGCTCCCTCGGGGGCCACGAACCGTGTGAAGGGTGTGCCAAAATGGGGCGGCGGTGGCGGACGCTCCCGCTGGGGCCTTCGGTGGAGCTCCCAATGAGACCACAAAACGTGCGAGGGGTGTGCCGAAACGAAGCGGCGGTGCCATGCGGACGCTCCCGCTGGGGCCTTCGGTGGAGCTCCCTATGGGGCCACGAACCGTGTGAGGGGTGTGCCAAAATGGGGCGGCGGTGCTCCCCATGGGGCCACGAAACGTGCGAGGGGTGTGCCAAAATGGGGCGGCGGTGACGCATGCAATCGCTGCCACTTTGTCCTTCGGTGGAGCTCCCTGTGGTGTCACGAACCGTATGAGGGGCGCGGCGCTGAGGATGGCGATGGTGATGATCATGATGATGTGGATCATGACGATGGCGATGATGATGACGATGATGACGATGACGATGACGATGACGATGACTAGGCGGATGGGAAGAGGGAGGAGGGGGAGGAGGAGGAGGAGGAGGAGGAGGAGGAGGAGGAGGAGAGGAGGAGGAGGAGGAGGAGGAGGAGGAGGGAGAGGAGAGGAGAGGAGAGGAGAGGAGAAGAGAGGAGAGGAGAGGAGAGGAGAGGAGAGGAGAGGAGAGGAGAGGGGAGAGGAGAGGGAGAGGAGAGGAGAGAGAGAGGAGAGGAGAGAGAGAGGAGAGGAGAGGAGAGAGAGGAGGAGAGGGGAGAGGAGGAGAGAGGAGAGGAGGGGAGAGGAGAGAGAGAGGAAGGAGGGAGAGGAGAGGAGAGGAGAGGAGAGGAGAGGAGAGGAGAGGAGAGAGGAGAGGGGAGAGGAGAGGAGAGGAGAGGAGAGGAGAGGAGAGGAGAGGAGCGGAAAGGAGAGGAGAGGAGACGCGGGACGCTGTCTCTCCAAAACGAGGACCCAACACCACAGGATGGTTGGGGGGGAAAAACAAAACAAAAAAAACACGACGTCGGGCGTCTGGGAGTGGTGACCCATCCTCGGCCATCCTCCCTCCTCCCTGCTCCCTCCTGCGGCTGAGGGGCACTGGCCCCCCTCGACTACACGCCAGAGTGACCCTAGACAAGAGAGTAGCCTGTGGTGCGCGGCTCTAGGGGGGGCAGCCGGATCAGGCCAGGCGGCCGTGCTCCCAACGGCTCGTCGGCAGGCGCAGCGCGATTGAATGAATTCACACTGCAGGACGCACGACGAGCGAGGACGCGAGGCGAGGCGGGCGAGCGAGAGAGGGACGAACGACAGAGGGATTCCGCTCTAGATTCTGCTGCAGAGCCCCCATGAGGGGCAACAGTCACTCTCACTATCCACTATCGCGCCATACAGCCGCGAGGGAACGACCGAGGGGAACGCGAGAGAAGGGAGACTGGAGCGGCTGTCTCCTGCGCCGCTTCGTCGCGCAGGAGGCTAGATTCGGCTACGGCGGAGGGGGAGGAGGGAAGGGGGGGGGCCGCCAACTGGAAGCGCACAAGCCGCCGCCGTCGCATCGCACCGAACGATCGACGGGCCCCAGTGAGCCCGCAGCAGAGGTCACTCCAGCGAAGGGTCACACTCTCACGTGCAGCCGGCGCGGACGGGGCGGTCGGAACGCCCTTCGCACCTGGGCGCCGCCAAGAAAGGCCGCCCCCGGCCAATTTCGAAGACTGGGGCCGAAGATCGGGGTTCGAGGCTCTCCTCCCTCTCCTCCCTCTCCTACCTCTCCTCCCTCTCCTCCTCCTCCTCTCCTCCTCCTCCTCCTCCTCCTCCCTCCTCCTCCTCCTCCTCCTCCTCCCTCCTTCTCCTCCTCTCCTCCTCGTCCTCCTCCCTCTCCTCCTCCTCCTCCTCCTCCTCCTCCTCCTCCTCCTCCTCTTCCTCCTCATCCTCCTCATCCTCCTCCTCCCCCTCCTCCCCCTCCTCCTTCGGCCAAAGGGTCGGGAGCTCCTGGACCGAGGGCCGAAGATCGAGGCTCGAGGCTCGAAGATCGCGGGTCGAGGGTCGAGGAGCTGGGGGTGGCTTGGGGCCTCCTGGGGCGTCCTCGGCGCCACGGCTGGACTCCTCCAGGGTCTCTTTGGTCAGGGCCCGCCCCGGGACGGGTTCCCAAATCTTGGGCCTCCAGCTCTGCAGATCCGAACCTCGCACAGAAAAAATGCCACGAGGCAGGCTGTCGCGCGCTTCGGCATCTGGAGGCCGTCCCCCGGACGCGGGGCCGCCAAAGAAGGCCTCGGGCTGAAGAGGCTGTCCCCTGGGAAGAGGTCGGGGCCGCGTCGCGAACAAAGTTGCGCCGTCGGACGAGAGGGTAC